GAATGATTTGATTGTTTTCGTGGATTTTTGCAATAACTAATAAGCGGCAACAGATCTTTCACGCTCCTTTTCACGATCATCAAAAAGCGGTACCTGATCTTTCACGATCCAAAATATAATTTTTTTTACAAATATTCCATTTTTGCCAAGTTTTTTATTAAACTAAAACAAAATAACTTTAAGAACCATTTCAAACAGTAATATGGAACGATAGATTTAAGAGAAGAGTAGTTAATGCAACCAAAATATGAAAAAATCATGTTTGTTTACTTTTTTATTTTTTTGAAATTTCGATGAGCAATTTGTCTTTTGTAGTTTTGTAAAAACAGTGTACTTGTGAAACTTGATTTTTCTCGGATACTGATTATACTGTTGAACCAATTTGACAGACAGTTTCATTTTTCCAATATTTGTCATTATAATTCATTAAATTATATTATTTACTGACGTTGCATGTGTCTTCTCGATAAGATTTCCTTCACGATTCAATCGCACTACTTGGGACCTCGGTGGCAGAGTGGTCTAAGTAGTTACTACTGTAATCACTAGCCAGTCAACACCGAGGTTGTGAGTTCGAACCCCGCTCGTGCGGGTGCACTCGACTCCAATCTTAATTGACTAGGATTGTCAGTTTTCCTATCGAAGGTCGGTGGTTTTCTCCGGGCACTCCGGCTTCCTCCACCAATAAAAACTGGCCGCCACGAAATAGCCCAAAAGCGGTCTTAAAAGTGGAACACCAAAAATCAAAAATCAAATCAATCGCACTACTTGACCACCTTTACTTATTCTTTCACGATCATTTTTTCTCGATATACCGAATGACACGATATACCGAATGACAGCCGTGAATTGGATATCGCTTGATATCAACTCTCGTTATTTAATTTAGATAGTAAAAATAAACTAGCCAAAGGCTCGTTTATTATTATATCGATATTTAATAACTCGAGTTGATATCAAGCGATATCCAATAACCACTTGTTATGAAACCTATAAGTATAACTGTATAGTAATACATATTTACTAGTAGTTACGTTTTAATTTATACAAAAAAATCAATGTTAGAATCGATAAAGAGACTATTCAAAGATCTTACAATAGTCCCGGTGAGTATTGAATTGATAACCTTTAAGAAAAGTGTATCTATTCAATTTCATTTACAGTTTTCACAGTTTTCCGTACCCAGTCACAATCAATGATTAGTTTGTTTCCTTGACTAGAATTAAATTTTCAAATATTAAAATTGAACGAAATAATGTCAGTCTTTTTAATATTTGGGACAACACTAAAATAAAAGGCAATGGTCTAAAGGTCAATGCAGAAAATCTTATTCCATTGATCAATAAATTTACATTGGTCGTATCTAGATTTACGTGTCAAAAACAACATCACCATCAAAACTAGTATGTGATATCCAGTTAGAAATAAGGTTTTTAAAGGTACAGCCAAAATCACAAACCGAGTCTCTGCATGAATGAAATAATTTGCTGCAAAATTCTTATGCAAATTCTTAAGTAATTTGTGGTACTCTAAGTGGTTGAATTGTGTAAAAGATATATTATCTGAATGTGGTATTAATGCCTGGAATAATCAATATATAGATACAAACTGTCAGTTGTCTAAAAATGTGAAACAGTATTACCACAATTTGTTTGTAAATGAATGGAAGGCTCAAATATTTAATACATCAAAATGTTTAAATTATAGAATGTACAAGTCTGAGTTTGGTTTTGAAGATTATTTAACTACAATGCCTTTTGATTTAAGAATTAATTTGTGTAAATATAGGTGCAGTAGTCATAGGTTACCTATTGAATGTGATAGATTTTATACCATTGATAGATCAGAAAGAATATGTGATTTATGTAACAGAAATGTGCTAGGAGATGAATTTCATTACATATATGATTGTACTTTCTTTAATGCCGAACGGCTGAAATTTTTGCCAGCAGATATTTGTAAAGTGAAGAATACTATGAGTTTCTCTGATTTAATGAACAGCAAAGATAAATTTTTTCTTGTTGGTTTAGCCATAGAAGTATTATATTGACAATATAATACTTCCATGGTTTAGCTAAGTTCTGTTAAATTGTAATGTCAGTTTACAAATGATATTTACCTTCCCATTTATTCATGCATTTGTAAATATGTTTGTTCATGCATTATTTCTTATTTGTAATATTGTTGTACTATCATGCCTCATGTGAGGCCTTTAGTGAAATAAAATGTTTCAAAATGAACAAAATGTTTCAAACGGTAACTGTTTATAATATGCATGTGATTCATTTCGATTGTAAAGGAAATTGTGTGATAAGGCTATTTTTGGGCCAGTAAATTCGTAAATTAAAAAACAGTTATAAATCTATTAAATGACATTCTTCAGATGTTTACAACATATAAATCTGTCAGATATCTGTATCTATATTTTTTTTTAATTGTGCCTTGCATATTTGCATTAGGGTTTCAAACTTCTAAATTCTCGAATTTGATTGAAAACTAATGTTATTTTGAGATCATGATATAGGTTAAAGCCTTTCACAAAAACATATTGTTGTACACGATGTCTTACATTGAGTGCATTTCTTTACAACTCAAACGGTGCAAACGGTAAAGCGTCATTTTTGTTTCTAACATACGTTTGCAAAGTTTGCATGAACTTTGAAATAACTATGCAATCGCTAAACAGTGATTTAAACGATGTATTTTTTTCTAAGTTTTTTATTATTAAGCAAACGTTAACAAAAAGCACACATTTTCACAACTTTTGGATAGAAAGAAGTGCACTCATAATGATCTTAATTTGGGTAAACTATGTATTAGGTAAAGTCTGTGACAAGTAAGAAACTATGTGTTAAATATGTCATTTTCGTCATGTTTATTACATCTGGTGACATCACAACTGGTACTTTAGCACTTTTAAGTGTCTAGTTTATGTCATCTTATTCATTTATCAATAAAATTAAGCATGATTTTGAAAGAATTGTAGAGATTACTAATTTCTCAATTTATAGGACCAACTGATTGATTGCTCTTATCATACGTCCTCTTTTTCAGTTTTTAGTTAATATATATTTACTAATCCTATAGGTGCGACGCACTCAATTCCATAACTGCTCTTTTTACTTACTTAGTTAAATATTGATGCTTCCACCACATGTATTATGTACCTGATTTATAATTTTTGCGACAGAATACCTACCTTCTCTGAATAGTTGTGTAAACGACTCTTTAACGTACATATAAGAGTGTAGCTGTCACTAAAATGCGAATCCGAACGTGGCTGTGTATTTAAACATTAAGCCAGATGAGTGTACCACGAACAAGAGTCTTACTTCAAGAGAATAAAAGGCCAAGTAGTCCGCTTACCACGAACAATGGTCTTACTTCAAGAGAATAGAAAGCCTAGTAGTCCGCTTACCACGAACAAGGGTCTTACTTCAATAGAATAGACGGCATAGTAGTCCGCTTACCACTAACAAGGGTCTTACTTCAAGAGAAAAGAAGGCCTAGTAGTCCGCTAACCACGAACAAGGGTCTTACTTCAAGAGAATAGAAGGCCTAGTAGTCCGCTTACCACAAACAAGGGTCTTACTTCAAGAGAATAGAAGGCCTAGTAGTCCGCTTACTACGAACAAGGACCTTACTTCAAGATAATAGAAGGCCAAGTAGTCCGCTTACCACGAACAAGGGTCTTACTTTAAGAGAATAGAAGGCCAAGTAGTCCGCTTTTTAAACAAAATTGATTCCAACTAATGTTTTTAGTAATTTCGTGTTGCTCAGTCTGTAGTTTTCCATGTTGTGTTTTGTATACCTTGTTTGTCTGTTGGTCTTTTTCATTTTTAATGCAAGTCAAATAATTTTCATTTATGGTTAGAATATGAAAACTTATTTAAGTGTTGCTATTGAAATGTATGAATGATTGATTTATATATATATATATGTGTTGTATTTTGATGTAAGAATGATAACTGTATACATGTATTTTGTTTGAGGGCCTCAATGAATATTAGACTAGTTCTAATTGAGTTACCATCTTTAAATAAATAATTTATTATAATTAATATTATTATAATTTTTTGCCATGGCGTTGTCACTTTATTTCCGACTTATGAGTGTGAATGTCACTTTGGTATATTTCACCTCTCTTTTACAGAAAAACACACCTATCCATACGTGCAAACTTTGTTTAAGAATTCCTGAATTTATATCTGCTGAATGTAATTAACTTTATGGTATGGGTTTTTCTCATTGATGAAGGCCGTACGGTGACCTACAATTGCTTTTATCTTCGTCATTTGAACTATGATGAATTGTTGTCTCATTGGCATTAAACAAAAAGGCCTGGAATGGTGTAATTTTTCATTTTATCAGTTAAATATAGAGTTGAATTCATTGATTCGTCGTTTTTACGTCATGCCGGTGTCCTATAGCCATTTTCCCCCCATGCTAATTTTTCTGGGGGGAAGAACTGGATCGATTCAGTCTATACCGATGTCCATTTTTCAGAATGTTAAATATATGATTGGATGGAAAATTTCAACTTATTATATATCAATGGGTGGTAATTTTATTAAACAATATATCAATTGGTCAAAATATTTTTATGAATATTAAATAAATTCATTCCTGTGGTGGACGTGTTAATCTCAGAATTTTACAGTAGCATTTTATCATCCACAGTAGTTATAAATAGGAACAGATTTCATGTAAGCTATACGAATAAATAGAATTTTTGAACAGAGTCAATAAATGAATCGGGATATTTTTTCGAATGCACCCCTGTAACAAAATATAAGTGCCCAAACAACTCCCAGACCCAGACCTTTCTAGTGCCACGCGTGTCAACAAAACGAACACAATTTGTACCCAACATTTCTTCTATGCAATCCAAGCCGAAAAAACATATTATTTTAGCATTCCAGGAATCGATCCTTTCTTCAGAAATTATGAAAAATATATGCAATATATGACCGTAATATGATGTATACATGGTATTAATATTGATTCACTCATAGGGTCTTTGCATCGGAAATAAACACATTTATTCTAAAACCAGTTGTTGGCATGATACGGGTTATGTTTTTCTCATATATTTTATGATGGTATGATACTAAACCCCTAACGGGAGGGATTGTACTTGATTTTCATATGATGAAGACATAATCTTTCAATCAGTTTAATTGAGGTCTGGAGCTGGCATGTCAGTAACTGCTAGTAGTCCTTTGTTCATTTATGTATCATTGTCATTTTGCTTAGTTTCTTTTGTTACCTTTTCTGACATCGGACTCGGACTTCTTTTAAGCTGAATTTTTACTGTGCGTATTGCTATGTGTTTCTTTATTCTACATTGGCTAGAGGTATAGGGGGAGGGTTGAGATCTCACAAAACATGTTTAACCCCGCCGCATTTTTGCGTTGAAGACCCATTGGTGGCCTTCAGCTGTTGTCTGCTCTTTGGTCGGGTTGTTGTCTCTTTGACATATTCCCCATTTCCATTCTGAATTTTATTTATAGTGAAATTCATATTGGGGGGAAATATGGGCATGGGGGAAAAGTGGCTATATGTATACGCGTATTGTCAACTTTCCGCGGGGGAAGAATGGCAATGATCCAAAATTTCCCCGGGGGAAACATGAGATCATGCCATTTTTCCCCCGGGGGATAAATGGCTATATAACACCGGCTAACAAATTATACCTCGTAATCTTAGTAGTATAGATATGCCTCTAGTATTGGCCGTTGTTCGTAAAATAAAGATAAACACACATTATGTAGTAAAAGTCATAGCGTACCTATAAAACAGATTAACGGTTAATGTCTCATACCCTCACGAAGTGCATAATAAGTGTACGTTCTTTTATGTAACTTTTGATATTCCATATAAATTTAAAGGTGGAAGGATAAGATCTTTAAAAAAACTAGTTGAACTCCGCCACATGTCTATATGTCTGTCCCAATTCATGAACCATTTTAGTTGTTAACTATTATAGTTATATCTTTATGTTTTTGTAATATATGGTATTTGTTGTTGATGGCAGATCCTTAGTTGATAGTCTGTTTATTAACAGCTTTTCAGATTCGTAGCGATAAACTCATCATAGATACCAGGCTTAAAACTGTGTACGCCCGACATTCGTTTCGTCTACGAAAGGCTCATCGGTGACGCTCGAATAAAAAAGTCCAAAGGCCAAACGAAGTACGAAGTTGAAGAACATCGAAGACCCAAAATTCTGAAAGGTTTTGCCAAATATAACTAAGGTTGTCTATTCCTGGGGTAGAAATTCAAAGATTTCGAGTCTGACATGTTTCATTAACGCTTGCCTATTGTTGAAGAAGACCGCGGAATAGTACCAAGATACAACTAAATATATAGACAAAATAAAATTAAGAACATCTGGTATGATTGCCAATGAGACATCTACCAACCAGAGACAAAATGACGAAGATGTAAGGAACTATAGGTCATCGTGGGATCTTTAACAATGAGAAAGACCCATAGCGTATAGTAAGCTATAACATATATATAAGAAGACCCGACAATTACATGACAAATGTAAAACAATTCAAACGGGGAAACCGATGGCTTTACATGTATTTATGTACACAATAACACGTGAAAAACAAATGATTATGATAAACAGCATTCAACGACAATCACTGAATTACAGGCTCTTGACTTGGGACAGCCACGTATAGAAAGGGTTAGACATATCTGCTAGCGCTTAACCCTCCCCATAAACTGACAGTTTTGTAACAGCACAACATAAAAACAAACTGTAAATATCGGTTGGAAAACGCTTTACACACCAGATCGACACAGAACACAAAAAAAAACAACTAACATAAAGACTAGAGACACAAAGTACTCTTCTAGAGTAATCCAAATAACTGAAACCTATAGTTCAAATCCAATTACAACTAATAAATTAATCATGTTTCCAAGACTAAAAATCAATCAGCATATGTGCATATAAATGTATCTGATAAAGTTTAGTTTTGAAGTGAATTTCCATTTAATAAAACAAAGAATCTTTAAGAAAAAATTTACAAAAGATACCAATAGTACCCTCAAAAAATTAATTAAAAATAAGACTATTGAAAAATAAATAAAACATGAATCAGAATAGACGAAAAAAAATTAAAATCTAAACGATGAATTGTTTATAAAAGTAGGTTTTTTATAACTTACAAATGCAGTACAATAAAACTGAATGTAACTGAAATTTTAATCGATATTTTTTTTGTATGAAAACTTTAATAATCGTTAATTAAATTAATTGTTTTTCACACTCCAGTATGTTTTATGGACTTAAAATGGTAATTAAAATTTGTATATATCACATCAGAACAATTGTCGTTTAGATCTGTATCCTATCTAAAACATCAAGTGTAAATTTTTTTCTATATGTAAATGATATTCGGAAAGGACCGAGCGGCTTATGTTACTTAAAACGTCTTAGTTTATTTAATATGGGTTTAAAAGCTTTTAAGACATTGAAAATGTGTACTTGAATCTTTCTATCTAGATGTTAAACATCATTTGCACGAAGGCAAACTTCGATTAAATTTCCACAAAGAAACATGTTAATTCATATTTTTCAGTTTTAAACGAGTTTCCTTAGACAGCCGGATATTTTTTGTCTGCAGATAATTTATAAGTATCGTAAGTTAATTATTATATTCATATATTAATAATATGTTAAGAGTTCAATATGCCGCAAGACATCTTTAACATAGAATAGTTCGTTTAAACATTTCAAACTTTAATTGAAATTTGTAGGATAAGTTACGGCGTTCAGAAAATTGATTTTTTTTCTCTATTTTGACAATTTAAATGAATATCGTTACATGAATATTGCACGAAGTTAATATATGTACAAACAGATAGTGGATTACTTAAAAGTGGTGAAGAGGTGGAAAATTGATTCAATTTCTAAGTGATCGCGGAATTTAAGTCTACTAAAAAGACATTTCTAAACTGTTAAACAATGGCGGATAAAACTCGCAAACGATTAAGTCAGGACAAAAAGAACAGCATTATCTCTCAGACAATACTTGAGACAAGTGACGAGACTTCATCACATACATATAGTGACGACGTACCGGAGATAGATTTGGACAATCCTGTAAACTTTGAGAGAAGACAACCTTACAAATCTCCAAGATCACCTACCATCGATGCCGAGTTGCAGAAAGAGACGCTAGATTTAGTTATATCTACACTAAATGAGTCGGATAATCATGGAGATCAGCAAGAGATGAACAATAACCAAACAGCCGATAAAGGGTAGGTTTATATATTTTATAATAGGTTATTGAACAAACGCATGTTGTATATTTAACAATTTATGAATCATAAATAGTTTTAAAATCGTAACACCCTTTCAATTGTACATGATTCCAACAGACCAGGCTTGTTTATATCATATACAAAAAGTCCGCTAAATTCGATGTGAAAAATTACATTTGCAGTGAGCAGTACTAATAAAAGCTGACAAACAAGTCCAAATATGGTAACGTTATTATATTTTGCAAAAAGTTTTAGATAAATGAGCCTTATATGTTGGATGATTAACGAACAGTAGTATGTCACTGATATGCTACATATCTATATAAGTCCTAAATATTACAGGCCATCGTACGTCTTTCAACAATATGAAAAGATACTTACCGTAGACAACTTTAAAAAGACCACTTACTTACCTTATGTTAAACGTCAAAACGAGACAAGAAATGCTTTTATTTTAATCTGAATTTCGATTACAATGCAATACTTCACTCTAGCAACATGATTTGAAAGACAAATTTCCGACAAAGAACATTGCCTTTCCGGAGTACCTGAGATCACCCCCAGTTTTGGGTGGGGTTCGTGTTGCTCAATCTTTAGTTTTGTGTAGTGTTGTTAGTCAGTTTATTGTCCACTTATGAGTTTGATTGTCCCTTGGGTATCTTTCGTCTCTCTTTTATGGAAGTAATACATGCCTCGAATCGATTATTTAAGAAATATTTCAAAAAGATGCCTTGTTTATATAATTCATGAAGGGGTGTTACATATAGGCACATATGATCCCTTTTAGTAGAGACATTCACCACGGTCGACCCCCTTTGTAAACCATACTGAAAAGGGTATTTGAATTTGGGGTCTTTAATGCTCTTCAACTTTGAACATTATTTGGCCTTTTTAACTTTTTCGATTCGAGCGACACTGATGAGTCTTTTGCAGACGAAATGCGCGTCTGGTGTATAAAATTTAAAGCCTGGTATTTATGATGAGTTTATTTAAGGGCATACGATACAGTTTTGATCCCACGGTGATTTTTTGACAAAAATTGCATCAAGCTATTTATCCCCTAGTGAATTCAAATATGTTATAAAAATATACCTTTGTGTGCTACTTTTAGAGATAAATCGGTTCGAAGTTTTAGACATTTACTCAAAGTTTCGGTTTCTTGGACATTTCTATCCTTTGGAAAGACATACCTTACTATTTTGTTCAAAACATAAACAGAGACGGATATTTGTGAAAACATTTAGAATATCTTCTTTTCACGGATATATACATAAATCAGTCGAAAAATGCATCTTTTCCCAATATTTTACAGTTGACGTCGTGAAAATAAACACTGGACGGTAGTAAGTCATTACCTCTTTTCGGCATATTTGCATTGAAGGTCATACCCTAATTCTCTCAAATTTTGTCAGAATTAAGTCCATCGTTTGTATGTCCTCATTTCGATAAAAAGGCATATAAAGCTTACTTTTGAGTCTTTATTTTGATGGTGTAATTCTTGGGTTGTGATCTATACCATGTATAGTTTCATTAAAGGACAGTTCTATTCCTGTCATACAAATATTGGATTTCAAATCCTAAATAAAATGTTTCTTCTCTTTTCCTCTTCTAAATTTTCTGGTATCACCACTGTTCAGGAATATGCGTACAATTTCATTTTTTCACCCAGGCGACCTATAGTCTCAAGAATCAATTCCCTGGGTTTAAATGTATAAATTACTACCTGCAATTTAAACAAAGATTTAAAAGGAAAAGATGTTCTTTGAGAGTCTTCAAACATATTTAAATTATTCGTAAAAAGCTACAACGTCAAACAAGATTTCTCATTTAACTACTTGTATTTAATGTACATTGATTTCTTAAATAAAAATGCAGATGGAATATTAAAAGTTAAAACTATGTATCGTCATCGGGAAATTTAGTTTCACACAAGATCACATGGTATGCATGAAACAAATATTTTTTT